CATGAGATCGGGCTGGACAGTCCCTCTCTTCACTGATGATGTCCCGAGGACTAATGTCCCTTTTCACTAATGTGTTTTCCTTTTAAAATGCATAGCTCAGACAGAATCATCATTTTTATCATTTTCCACTGATTTACGCTATCTGATGAGCATTACCTGCTTCTAGAGCTGTCTTCTGTTGTGTTTTCTCTTCCACGATCTCTGTTCTGACTCTGTTCTGATGAAGCTCATTCGCTGCTTGTCTGTCACTCATATAACACATTCATAGCCTGCCCTGTCTCAGACAACCAATGTGCCTTACACTTCCAGAAAAACATTTATAGGGATGAAACATGACGCTAATAAAAACATGAGTATTACAGCATATGTGATTTTCATGTGATTCTGTCTATTTTCTTAGCAATACTGTGTGTTTACATGAGAAATGCTAAGCAGGTGTAGAGATGACATTAATAAAAAAAAGGCTACAAATAACATATTTCTGCAAAATTGTATGAGCAAATCCCTCATTAGATCACAATTGGAAGTTAATTCAAACACTCGATGGTGGTCTAGAGTGAGTTTTGAGTAAAAGCATAGTTTAAATTGTATAAATGTAAAACGTATTGAACTCGATACCCAGCCCTAAATATAATTGGTCAAAGAAAGAATGCATAAAAGTCTCATGGTACTATGTGTAATGCTTAAGCATTATGGGAACATTTTTAAAACATATCACCTCCATTGTAAAAACAGTAGTTTATAGCAGCTATAAGTTATATAACTGTGATAGACACTAGAACCTCAGTTCTTTGTGAGACACCTCAAGCAAACTTCCACCAAAGGATACTACATGACCATCATTAGCGCATGGCAAACTCCCAGACCTACCTGCAGTTTGGAGGCGGATCGAGGGTCATCTCTGCCAGTTCCTTCTGATTCCTGCAAAACAAGAGAGATTTCACTCATTAAATTCATCCGCGCAATACTCAACCTTTGTATCTAGTAGGAGATCGAGGTTTGGTTGTATGCATGCAGGTGATGTTTTAACGAGGGCCATCTTTCTCATTTATTTTTCAATACATTCATTATGGTTCCCTGAACGTTTAGGGTTACGCTCACTGTTGCCAACTCTCACGAGACAAATAAGCAACCGCTGCTTCAAAAACAAGCCCAATATTTTTTTGGATGATTTATTATCATCAATATTATTTATTATCAATTATTTATTACCAATAAATGAGCCTGCAACATATTAAACTGAAACCACTCTTTTATCTGAAAAGCAAAAACAGAAGCTATTTTACAAAAATCAGCAAACTTCAACAAAAATTGGAACAAAACTCATCTCCAATCCCCTGTGTGCAGAATTTGATTGGAGAGATGGAAAAGGAGAAAAACACAAGAGCTTCAAAGAGGAACTGTAACATAGCCACATATTTATAGCCTACTAAAATATAGGCTATTCGAACCATATTTACTCTTAGTATTAGTATAGGACTACTTGTTTTTTTATTACAGCCCGTGATAATTAATACATTACAAAAACATTGTAAAAATAAAAAAAATAGGCTAAAAGAAAGTCATCCCACTCCTCCACGTCTACTTCTATCATCGCTTGCATTACAGCATCACGCGCCTTCTTTTTGAACCTGATTTTCTCCAATGAGAGGGAGGAACATTTGGCAAATTACGCTGCAGCATTTATGTTATTGCACTGGTTGGCTATTAACTGCGAGCAGACAGATGTCATTCAATGCATTGGAGAATACGGCGAACATAAATAAAGAAACAAAGTTGCTTGTCAGATTTCCCTAACATTTCCTTTTTTCAAGAAACTTTTAAAAAAAGAAGCACAAAGTTGCGTATAATACGCGGACTTGGCAACTATTGTTACGCTAGCTAAGCTTTTGGTTCCCTTAGCTTGTTGTTGGTTAGTCAGTATTTACCACAGTCTATGATCTTTACGGAAATCTATATAGGCTAGTCTTTATGCTTTGATATATATATATATATATAAACCAGCAGCTGTGGTTGCCGGAATTTTACCGTAAAAAATACGGTAGCAAAGTTTTAGGTTTTACAGTTTTAACTTAAATTTACAGTTAAATACCATAATTTCATTAACTGATATAATGTTAATATACCAACCTGTTGAAGTACTGAAATCTGTTTTGTTCCTTTGTAATACACTGATACCCACCAAATGCAGGAGGTGATGAGAAAGTCACACGATGAACCAAAGCCCATCACAAGCAGCTTTTAGATAATAACATATATAGAAGGTGCACAGTGTCATTCACACAAACACTAAACACCATCACGGTAACACACATGAAACTGAAATAATGTAATAAACATTCATTTAACAACATTAGGTGTAACACACAACCTTAATATTCAAAACTGATAAGAAAAAACTAAGAAGAAACAGTCTTTTTCACTTCCAAAAACTGTATACTACTGTAAAATTAATGTCCAATACATGTAATGTCCAAAACAGTTTTTCACCGTATATAGTAGGGGTATTTACCGTTAACCATTTAACAGGTTTTTACTGTAGCATTTTCACAGTCTTTTACCGTTAAATTCACTGTAATTTTTTACAGTGTATCTTTGGATGGAAGAGTAGAGTATGGGCCAAGGAGTATGGCATGGATAATAAGATCTTCTGTCCTAATGTACCACTCACTGATGCCCCACTATGGAGAGTCCCTGAACCACTTGTAGACTTGAGCTGACTAGACAAGCCCAAAGGTGAATACATTACAAGGAGGTTAATGCTAATAATAAATAATACATTTTATTCAACATTACAAATATTTACGGATGGATTCAAAAGGTTGGAATAAGTGTATATATTCCAAAATTTAAAGTACGAATTAGTTTGAAATTGCCAGATGATTTATCAGTATACACTGCAGAGTTAACAGCTATAATAATAGGACTACAGTGGGTTGAACAAGTCAGACCAAATAAAGTGGTAATATGTTCAGATTCGTCTTCAGCTTTAATTAGTATAGCACACGCGAGATCAGACAGAGAAGATTTATTAATGGAAGTGTATCTATCTTTACACAGATTGAAAGAGGCTGGGATAATGGTATACTTTTGTTGGGTGCCAGCACATGTTGGGGTATCTGGTAATGAAGTTGCTGATAAACTAGCAATAAAAGCACTAGACAAGCTGGAGGTGGATGTTAAAGTGCCTATGGGGAAAAAAGGGAGGCAAAGTCGATTTTAAATAAAAAGTCAATGAATAAATGGCAAATTAGATGGGATAATAGCAGCAGAGGGAGATGGTGTTATATTACACAGACAGTAGGGAGGAAGAGGTGTGGCTGTCTAGATTAAGACGGGGACATACAGGGTTGAAATCAACACTGGCACTTATGGGTTTACATGAAAATGGGTTATGCCATGTATGTGGTGTATCTGAAAATGTATATCATGCACTTTGTTGGTGTAGTAAATATAGTGTATATCGTGACATATTATTTAGTCACTTTGGGGAGGAGAGATTGACACATGAAGATATTTTAGGAAAAGGTTGACTGGATAGACGGGGATACAGAGCACTAATTAAATATATCTATTACTCAGGTTTAGGATCTAGATTATAATATGTGTGGATGGGAGTATTCTACCTAATCTGGGGCACGAAGAGCTAATTGTGAGTGCTAAAGGAGCTGAAGAATATGGAGCCAGATCGGCCTAAAAAATAATACATTTCTAAAACAAAATTCATAAATTCTCAGCACAATTTACATTTACAAAATCCGATTCGTAAATTCAAAACACAATTCATAAATACAGAAGTAAAAGCATAAACATTTCCCCAAATGCTCACACAAAAGCATCTTACCTAAATAAATGTAAAATGTGTACACAGATATGTATATATCAAGTTCTTGAATTAATTGCCATCACACATTTATGAATGATGTTACATGTATTTATGGATCGCTGAATCTGCATTTGCAAATCATCACACGTGCGTGGACTGCTTTGAATTTGTGTGGTATTTTTGAGACCTTCCTGGCCGGTTAAGACTCATAAATATCTTTTTTTGGAGGATGTTCCGTTCAGACAATCGTGGTGAGTTTTTAATCCACCAATCAGACTCAAGAAGCTCAACGCTGTGCCTGTACTGTGCATTGTTCCATGATCGGGTCCTTGATGTAAAGACATCCTGCTGTCTTATACACCAAAGTTGCTCAATCTGTAATGTTATCAAATAAGTGTTAAATGTCCAGATATTTCATTTAATAACAACAATTATGTAATGTGTTCTGTTGTTGTTGTTAGTAGTAGTATCAGATTCGCAGTAACTTTTGATCAGGCATTAAAAACAGCGATCACCACCGAAGGGAGATTTCGAACACACACGGCGGAGAGATTTAGCATGGAGGATGAAAATATATAATCATAATGTGATTTTGTAGAAATTGTAATCAGGTGCTAAAAAAAAAAAGAGTACCCACTAAAATGTCTTTACATCAAGGACCCGATCATAGAAACACTGCACAGTACAAGCGCAGCGTTGAGCTTCTCGAGTCTGTTCAGTTAAGAGCGTTTTGATTGGTGGATTAAAAGCTCACCGCGATTGGCTGAACGGAACACCCTCCAAAAAAAGATATTTATGAGTCTTAACCGGCCAGGAAGGTCTCAAAAATACCACACAAATTCAAAGCAGTCCACGCACGTGTGATGATTTGCAAATGCAGATTCAGCGATCCATAAATACATGTAACATCATTCATAAATGTGTGATGAAAATTAATTCAAGAACTTGATATATACATATCTGTGTACACATTTTACATTTATTTAGGTAAGATGCTTTTGTGTGAGCATTTGGGGAAATGTTTATGCTTTTACTTCTGTATTTATGAATTGTGTTTTGAATTTACGAATCGGATTTTGTAAATGTAAATTGTGCTGAGAATTTATGAATTTTGTTTTAGAAATGTATTATTTTTGAGGCCGATCTGGCTCCATAGAAGAAGAGAGAGGTGTGAAGTCGGAACCTTTATTCTCTCGTTCATGTTTCCGGTCGAGAGAAATAAACACGGGATCTGCTTCCTGTACGTTACGTTACACGCGCGTACGCAGCCTCAGCTAAACAACAATTGAATAAACCAGATATCTTGAAATTAATAAATTACAATGGAGACGATTTTAGAGCAGCAGCGGCGCTACCACGAGGAGAAAGAGAGGCTGATGGACGCCGAAACGAAGGAGATGCTGACGAAGAAAACCACGGTAAGTTTCAGGATGATCTCTGAATGATGCTAACACTTTAAGCGTGTTATTAATAAACATAACCAGTTACGCTTAACAGCGATTAAAGATACAAAGGGCAAGTTAAGACGCTTTAATTCACAGCAGATAGCTGTGTGACAGTAGTATGCTGGACACTGAGTTAAAGACAACATTATAATGTAGTATTCTTATAAGGTTTATAGCACCAAAACTATTTATAATTACGTTTTCAAGACCATTTCCTTTCTCTCAGCCTGTTTATGATTATATCTGTATTATTTCTGTATGTAGTTATGATTGAGTAACCATGTGTTTGTTTTGTCCTCACAGTTGCTCTTTTTGAGAAATGCACTAAGTGTGTCTTATTTTGACAATAGCAAGGTTTTATCTGAAGTACTTCCGTGTAAATCTACATGAGACCTTTAACAGATGATCTTGTCTTTTCTGTGTTCTTCAGCTGAGAGACCAGATCAACTCCGATCATCGCGTGAGGGCTATGCTGGATGTGTGTGAGATCCTTTCTTTCATGTCCTTACCTTTCTTGATTTCCTAATCATTCCCTAATCGTGGAAACTGTACATTTATGCAGCGGGTGTGTTTGTGTTATGTGATAACCTGCAGAGATACATGGAAGTGAGCGCAAACCTCAGAGACCTGTACGAAGACAAAGACGGGTAAGACAACCTCAAGGACACCGAGTCGGTATAGAAATACATCAGCTAGTGCTGGGCGGTATGATCAACTTTATATCACGGTATTTTTCTAAACTATACCGTTTTCACGGTACATGACGTTTTTTTTCTTTCATGCATGACCGGGTGTTAAGCATATTTTCTACTGATTGAGAGGAAATACTGCAGTATATTGACTTAGAATGCCCTATTTTACTGTCATGATGAGTGAATATTGTCAAAAAATACCACACTAAATAGTGACTAAACATGACCCCTTTAATACATGTTAACCAGGAGTCACTCATTTATAATCACAGCATCGTCTGATGAAATCAGCATGCATCTACACTAAAGAGCGGCTATGCAGTTGTTTTGGCTGTATGACTTTTTTGTCTCATGCAGCGCACTGCCTGCGTCTGAGTAACAAACTAAAAAAAGCAACAAACTAAAAAGTGCATGTGATATTAACAGACGAACTAC